ACTCCTGCAAAAACTTTGTCATAGGGAGAGGATGAACAACCCAATTGTGTGAGGAGTCCAGTTAACTCTCCAAGGCGTGCAAAAATCTCTGGATTCCTCCGACCCACCTTCAGAGCATCAAAGCAGGGAAGTAGGCCGTCCGTCTTGATAAAGGAGCGTACACGTGCAAACAAAGCTATGTGTTGCTTGTTTGGCTCCCTCCACATTGTCTGCATCTGACCAAACTCGCCACCATAGTGCCAAAAATTCAGCGCCATACACATGACATGAAGAGCCCGGTCAATCAGCGATCTCCTTCGCTTGCATTGCGAAAGAGAAGTGGGCATCCTGTGGCTAAACAAAGGAGGAATAGGCACAGGGAACAAAGACGGAGTTCCAGGCAGCCGAGGACCCGCCTGCTTGGAAATGCGAATGGTTGAAGACAAAAATGCGGAAAAAGAACTCCTCGATCTCAGCACCAGTTTGACCAAAATGGAACACCACATTGGGAAGTTGGCCTGTCTGGACTGAAGAAAGTGCGATCGGCTCAACCCGGCCTCAGGGTGACCGAGGTCTTGGCGATGTGCCTCAACCCGATCACCCTCAAGCAATGGGGAGCGGGGAGGCCTTATGAGCGGTGAGCTCTCTCCAAACTGGAGATTGGGGCTCGTGCTCGGCAGGTCCCTCCCAAGATCGCCAGTCACTGCAAAAGAGGCTCCATTGGACCCCTGCTTGAATTCTGACTCAGGCTCCGTTTGTGTATTCCTCACCCATCGGTGAGGGCTTTTGGCTTCTTCGGGAACTTCGGCTTCCTCTTTGGGGAGGGTGAGGAATTGTCCTCCTCCCCCTTTGTCCCTTGTGGTTTCTTGCCTCTGGCATCTGCTTTCCTGGACTGAAGAAGGTCTATCTCCTTGAGGTAGGCAAGGTTGATGGACGCCAAAGCTGGAGGCACCAACGGGGAAAACGGTCTGCCCGCTGCTGTGAGGGATGCCATCTTGTCCTGAAACATCGTAGGAGGTGGGTCCTCGATCAAGGCCAGTACATAGGCGAGGCCCCAATCTCCCGCATCGAACACAGACTGTTCTAATGCCATGATGCCCAGCGCTAAGAACTCTTTGGTAGCCACAAAGTCGCCAGCGGCGGCCGCATCCATGGCGTGAGCAAGGACCCACATACATAGACCTGCCTCCTTCTGGTTCCTGTAACCGCCGTACCGTTCCAGGTAGGTCAGTAGGGAGGCTCCTTTTGCTTGCAACTCTTCCTCGTTCTTGGGCAACATGCTGGACGGGTGTAGCTTCTTGAACACTTGCTGTTGCACCATGAGGAAAAACTGGGACTGGCGTGCTGCCAAATCTTGTTGGAGCTTCTCCCTTCTGAGCGTGCCTTTTGTGGAACTCGAGGTAGCCCCGGATGAACTCGCCTCCAACCCAAATGGATCGTTTCCCTGGATGAGATGTGTCACGAGAGCAGTCAAAGCTGCCGATTGCTGACTCAAGGCTAACTCGGTAGGGTCCTTGGGGGCTCGGAGGGGGTCCACTGGCTCGTCGGGCACCGTTAAAGCGAGGCCACTGCTGGGACCTGTACGGGTCTTTGGAGGGGGGCCCACCAACTGCATCGCTTTTGCAGGAGAAAGCTGGGCCGGGGTTTGCAGTCCTGCTGAGACCGGGGGCATTCGGTAGCCTATGCCCGCCACAGGTCCTGGCTCTGTTGCAGGAGTGGCAAATGAAGCCTGGCCGGGTTTGGGTAGCGGTGGAACTTCCCTCGAGGCTGTCTCGTGGCGAGCGGACAGCACTGCCACCTGAGCAGAAAGAGCTGCCACTTGCTCGGCGAGGGAAGCATTGGTGACTCTCTTGGCGGGTGTCTTCCGTAGGGCCGGAGGTCTGGCATCTTGCTCTTCTCGAGCGCTGTAAAAATGGACACGGCCCACGGTCTCCTCCTCGGCCCAGTTATGGATGGCAGTGAGCAGATCTCCAAACGCGGGAAGCCCTGTGGCTAGTCCCTCACTATAAGGGGATATTTCTTCAAGGGAATCAACCACCGGATCATACTCACGACAGTAACGAAGAATTTCGTCAGTGAAGTCAATCACTAACACATCTGCACGGATCCCGGTATGAAACACAGATCCATGCTCATCTTCGTCTGTCAGCTCCACCTCAAACGTGCGAGAAGGTCCAATCATCTCTTCTTCGCCAGCCCCAATCGGTTGTAGAAGGAGATCTTCACGAATCACTCCTATAGGAAGGGCCAGCATAAGCCCTCCTCTCCTGAGAATGAGAGGTGAGGCAAAAGCTTGCAATTCACCGGCACTGCTTGACATCTCTGCGGGAACTGTGAGGATCAACAGCGTCGGATCTGAATTCGTGGCTGCATCTTTCAGCGCTCTCCGTTCCATCGCCACAGAGGTGGCACCGGAACAGACGCCCCTGCACAGAAGATGTGCAACTCTGTAAGCGAGGGGAGCTTCTCCACAAAGACTATATCCTCGAACTCTGCTGTTAACCGATCACAATCTCGTTGAGAGGTTACTCGCAGCAAATCAAAACCTTTTCCTTTGCGAAGCACCCAATGAACAGCCGGCAAGCCTGGCTTGTAATCACTGTGATACTCAGTGTGACACTTCCAGAATGCTCTTGCCCAAAACCCTGCCACAAAGGAAGCTCGAGCCCTGTCTGTTGAATGAGCCTTCGAGGATGACAAATGCTTCTTGGCAATGTCGTAGCAGAACTGAGGAGTGTCTGGAGGGCCTTCTTCGAAAAGGATGACTGGATCTTTTTGAGGATACCCACTGGGAGCCCCAGAAATCGGTGCACTGTCCTCCACCAGCTGCCAACCTGAGAGGGAAGAGACTGTAGTAGCCTCTCTGGGAGCTGTTTCTGAACCTTCGCCCTGTCTCCTCTCCACCACCAACGTCAAAGCCTGGATGGCTTGTGTAAGTGCTCGAAGTTGGTCTTGCACACCTGAGGAACTGGGTTCACTCATGCAAGTAGCCAGCCAAGCGAGAAGGTCGTCTCCTGAGGTCGGTAGGCTGCCGAGCAGGGATGTCAGGAGTTAGCACCGACCGAGGGAGGAGCAACTGCAAGGCGATCCAAAAACCCAGGGCAAGGCCAATGAGGATGCCAATAGCCAGACCGGTAAGGAGAGGTAAAGCCAGGGAAGGATGACAGTGCACAGGACAAGCCAAGCTGCTGCTAAAGGAAAGTAGGGCAGTCAACCCCTCAGCAGCAGCACCCAAACTGAACATGAAGCTTGAGACGTGCATACACGAATCACAGTTAAAGGTGCATATGTATTAATATTATAGATATATGATATATGTCACATATGTCATTGTCTCCAAGAAAACTCAAGATGCCAACAGCCTAATGGGTCAAACTTGGGAGCCACTTGCGCCACAAGTATGCTTCACTCACAGCACTCTGACAATAGCACCAGGGGCCGAGCTAGCCGCCAAGCAAAGGATTATCAAGGATTGTTGAATTGAAGCTGACTAAAAGAATCTCACACCTCTCATTTGGAGAGGGAGGGAGAAAAATAGAGAGAGGGAGAGAGGTCCAAAGCACAGCATCTCTACCACAGACATGTGCTGATGGGAATGCGCTTGTTCAGATGAGCTTGTTTTGCCCATTGGAGACCGCGATCGTCATTCAAAAGCATAGCATCATATCAGGCTGCTGGGGACTGCTCAGCCCGAAGGCAACAAGCTGTGTCCTGCTGTTCTTCCCTGAAATAGACCCAGAAATCGCTTCATCAAATCTGCAAAATGAGACTCGGGTCTCATAGAGATCGGGAACTGAAATGGAACGATACTTGCACAGGGCTGATGTGTTCAGGGTGTCCACCTTCACCGCACGACGTGAATTGCTAATTGCATTTGGGACACGAATTAGACATATCATATACTATCAAAGTTCTTCTTTTTACTCACGGCATATCTTACATGCTCGTGGAATGCCTCGCGATTTAGTACGAAAACCTCTCTTAAGTTGGGCCGCAGTGCTATGTCATGCTATTTCTGCCGGTGCGGGTAGGTCGGAGTAGGTCGGTCTAGTAGGGCAGATTACCGGCATGGGTGATCAAAGTATCTCGAATAATCTTATGGTAAGACTATCATTTGGGAGTTGAGGTCTCCACACCAGGCCAGAGGTGGTGTGGTGTGACCACCCTAAGAGGAAAAGACTGGAACGTCGGCCCACTGGTCACCATCCATTTGCGGGTTTTGGCCACAGCTCACTTAGAATTGACATGAGACAATGGCCTGTTTATCTTAACTGCGACCCACTCGGCCTAGTTGATAGGAGATCGATGGCGGAGGGCGTGTCGGGCACACGGTTCTTTCGGTCACAAACGTTGATCGGCACTGCCTCGGCCGATTCGTTCATCTTTCGAGACGTGATTCCTTTTTACGCATCGAACGTGGAGTCGAACGTTGGTCGTTCTCCCAATTCCACCACCACAATTCTGGAAAGCATCCCGAATGACACTTCTACAGCCCACAGCCAACCGGCTGCTCATCCCGAGATCATTGGGGATGTTGGGCTTCCCGTTTGGATGCTCAGTGGCCGTCCGCGCGTCTGTGACGCTCGAATCATCTCCTCAGAAAAGAGCACAGCCGAACCAAACTCGAACATACTCAAACCATCTCATACCACAAAAAAGGTCTTCCCAAGCCAACAAATTGAGGTTGGCCTGAATGACCTATTTGAGCCTTCAAATCCAGCGGAAAACTCGGGAAAAAAACATCATGTGCGATCTCCAGATCCAGAATCTCCTAAAGGCGGATGGATACCCAGAAATACCTATGACAGAAACTTAATCCTACGAGCTCTCAAATAAATCTGTCACTCCAGCACAAAGGTGGACTCTTTTTAGGTGGACAGACCATGACCAAACAAGTAAAATGCCTGTCTTTTTATCATAGTGCCTGTCAAAATGCAAGCAAAGTCACAAATGTCTACACCCAAACTTCTTTTGGACTGGTCAGAAAACCGTGATTTCCCATGCAGATGTCGTCCCCCAAATCAGGCAAACCGGGCCCCTTTCAGAGCCCAGGGCACCTGACGTCACTCAGAGTACGCGACAAGTTCGAGTCGTTCTTCCTAGGCCCCGGAGCCAAGACCCTGGAGAAGGGAACATCGCCAGGCGAACGGAGCCGAGTCACGGTCTGAAAGTGCAACACATCTTCCCTGATCTTCTTCATTTCGGCCCTCATCACCTCAACTCTCGAGAGTGTCGAGAGCGGACTGAGGAGCTAACAGCCTAACGAAGGCTACGAACGGAACATTTCGGGCATCGCTACGAACGGAGCAAGGACGCTACTAGTAGCTCCTGGCCTTACTCTAGTAACAAGAAGCTACTAGGAGCAAGAGCATCACTACTAGTAACAAAGGGCATTACTACTAGTAGCATTCTTGCTACTAGTAACAAGAAGCTATACTAACCTCTTGACCTCAAATTGTTGGACGGAAGTGGTGCGCTTCTTGCTTGATCCCAGGCGCCGTGTTCTCATAGCTCATCCTCGCAACCTGCAAAGCAAAGGACTGGATCATATCTGCTTCACAAGACTTGGTTGTTTCAAGCGTCTACTTATTCCAAGGAGAAAACAGAAAGTCAAAGCACTGCATTCTCGGTTTGTCTACTCTACTCCTCCTTCTCAAAGCAGGGGAACAGCCCCATTCCAGTCTACTCCACCAAATCTCAAGCTAGCCAAGGTGCCCCAGAACTCACAAAGGGAAACGCACACCCATGCCTGCAAGCCTTTGGCTGGCCCTTGCAGTTGCATGCATCCGTGCACAAATTCATCCAGGGAAATCCTGAGGCCGAAACAATCATGGACGAAACAGGGCGAAACTATTATGGGCGAAACTCGGGCATATGCCAATGACACCCGAGATACAGGAAAACTAGCGCGGACCCATCATTATGAAGTCGATCCAGGGACGAAATACCATGCACTTCCCTTCCCATGAGGGCCGGGAAGTGGTCTAGTGGCTATGACGCATCCCTCATGGGAGGTGCAACCCTAAGCGACCAGGCGACCCACTGCCCCACCCCTGGAGATCAGGGAATGAGCTAGGGTGTGAACCGCTACAACACAACAACTTCCCTTCCCACACTACTCTATGCTTTGTGCACTCGTGCGCCAGGACACCCATTGAGAAGTCTATACTCGGCGACACTCAAGTCTAGAAGGCTATACGAACGGCGCATTCTCATCTTGATGTCATTTCCCCTGGAAATGAACCGAGGCTTCTCGGAGTGAAGTGAAGTGTGTCTGTCTGGCTGGTTGTATTATTACAGTCTGTCTGGCTGCCAAACGGTTTCACCCACCCCTTGTAGCTGGTACTAGGACCTAGGATACTTCAATGCTAATGCTTTTTCACCATGGGATGGTGTCAACCTCAGGCCCCTGGACCTACGCAGGCCTGCCCATGTCTCCCATGGATCACACCATTCCTACCAAGTCGACACACCTTCCTACGGCGAAGGGTGAAAGGCTGGGTGTCGACTCACCTGGAACTTCCTCTCTTTGGGCCGAGATGTTGGAATGTCCCAAAAAGCTCCCAACCAGCGACCAGCGATGGAACTCTGGAATGGTGAGGTTCTCCGAACTTCACCAACTTTGTGGCGCCAGTTTTCGGCCACTGTTCACCAAACCTCAGAACTACTACTATACAAATTGTCGATAGTTTGTATATTTGTCGATAGTTTGTAAGGAACTACTACTATACAGTAAGGCCCACTCAATTTTCTTGTAAGATTGTTGGTTACAAATGGTCGAGCCCGTGGGCCTCTCCCGGCAGTGCCACCCAGCTGCTCACCACTTCCATCTGTGTCCACTGTCCTTGCATGTGGCGCAGCATTGGCTTGCAAGAAGATGTGCAAAACTGAACGACGGACGAACGTGTCAAGGACGATACCTTCTGTTGACAAGTGTAGTGGTTCAACTACCATCTTAGCGGGCTTTTGCGATGGACACGGTATCCAATTCATGCTTGGGAGGTTTGGGAGGGGCAGGAGGAAATAAAGAAGATGTTGGTTCAAAACGGCCAAACAAAAGCAAACTACCCCTGTGTGACCGAGGGCCGAAGATATCAATTGTTCAATTCATCCGGTGAGCAGAGATGGGCCTCTCAGGTTGTCCTGCTCAGCTTGCATGGAACATGGGGCTCACCCAACCAAGGGGCTAAGGGAAGTGCAGAAGTCTCAAATGCCATGCGTACGCTTATAGAAACCTCTCAACTTGTTATTTGTCTTTGGGAACATCCACAGCAAGTGCCACCAACCAGATGGCACCAACTTTGATAGCCTGTCAGTTCCATCCAACGGCGCTGTGCCTTAAATGATTTGGAGCCAAGACACATGAAGAGCGTCCAAACATCCTTCACAGTCAGCTGGGGAAAGCATCTCTGGCCAGTTCAGTCAAACGTTTGAATAGTGCTGTTACCCCAAGCATTGCTCTCTTTACAACATTAACGGACAAAGGTTTGTAAGTCCTTGAGACACATTGATGGATTCAGCTCCCACTGACAGGCCAGCTCCCCGCTTCACAGGGTATGCAGTCGCTGCGGTGTGTTCATGTAGACATCCTGAAAAAAGATCTGCCTCATGTCAACGATTCGACGATGTAACCAGTGGTGCAGCTGTTCACCTACGAAGCACACACCGACGCACCGGAATTGGAATTGGCACCCGTGAAGTTCAACAGACGACTCAGACTCTCTTGAATTGGCTCATCAGACGTGGTCGTTTGGAATTCACCTTATATATATTATATATATATAATTACTCCTTTCCACTGGGGTCCCACTGATGAAACTCTTCAAGACCATGACCTAAAGCTGCTGTCTCAGAAGCAACCCAACCCATCCCAGGACTTCGCTCTCCTCGGTGCTGATGCCCAAGGAGTTCATGAAAGTTCTCAACTTCGCAGACCTCAAAGCGTCCTGGCGAAGGGTGGGCAGCTGAGAACCATCAGCTCATCTGCCCCCCCTCCAGGTCTTGAGTGGGCCACACCGTGGATTGTTGATGGGCATCCAACAGATGATGCATCTCATGCTCTCCTAGGGAAATCTTGGACATGTTGGGCAGGGCTTGAAATGGTTTGATGAGTGTCTCAGTTTCTCCCTGTCCAGTCCAGTTTCGCCTGCAACCCAATAATTTACTAAATGACCCCGTATACTTGGACAACATGGGTAGACCTTCCATGCCTTCCATGCCTTCTTCATCCTATTCCCAGTAGATCTCGAGCCTTAAGCTCTGCTAAGTTGATCTGGCTGGAGCAGTCGATATCGATCTCCTCGAAAATCTCCTGAGAATCACAATACAGAAAATCTCAAAGGTATCGGATGTGTAGCTCAAATAAGGAGACCTCCCAGTTCGACCCCCTGGAAGAAGGAAAATGGACCAGTCTACCCAGACAGGGCCAGAGTGCCTCCTTATTAACATACACGCCCATACGGGCCCATACGTTCGTATGGTGTTTTTCTTGTAGTCACCGTGCTATCTAGTCTACCTGAGGAACGATGGCTGTCCGGAGGAACATCCCCACGCAACCTGCGTCGAAACACGTCCTAGGATCAATGGGAAAAGCCAACATGCCATGCCGTGCGGGTGGAGGATAGAGTGAGTATTCCAAAGACAGTTTCAGAAAAATGTGTAAACACTGAACAGGTTTTAAGATAAGGTGGTTGAGGAGTCTTCTCCATCCACTCTACCTCTATGTCAACAACTACTGAGAAGTTGTTTTTGACACGGTGCTCACGACCCGCAAGCAAAAAGAGTTGGGATACCGCAGTACTCTATTACATATTAAGCCCTCTATACACACTTTGTTGAAGTGCAAAGAACTTCTCATGTACACTTTGGCTCCTTATCTGCGAACCCCCAGAAGCAAAATCTGTATGAAGGTCTACATGGCATGGCACAGGCACACCATGGCACACCCAGAGTTTGGGTTTTGCGGCTTCTCTCTTAGCAAAAATAAAGCTCAAACATCCCATATCACTTGGCAGCTCAACTGTGACCAAAACATCTGTTGGAAAATGACACCCTAGGCAAGGACCAGAAGCATGTTCTTCCAGTTCACTCACCTGTGAGCCAGAAGCATCACCTGAAACCAACGTTAGAGTAGTCAGAGCAAAGGGTTCCAGACCTTTGATGTTTGACCCCACAGCCTGGCCGGAAAAAGATCAACGTCGGCCCCTGGTCAAAGAAGGCAGAGGCTCCCGGAGAGTCTCCATCTGCTGATCCAGCTTCTTCATCTGCTTCATAATGGCAATCTCCTGTCGGAGGTCGATCGTTCGTTGCGGTCCGCGTCGGCGCAACGAACGAGCCAAACCACCAAAGCGGTCCGGGCCCCGGGACTGAGTGCGACGACCATTCGGCTAAGCCGTTCCGAGAGGTTCCGCGATCCAAAAGGGGAAAGGACCAATTCAGTGGGAAAAACGCTTCCAAGTCTGTTCAGTGGCAAAAACAGAAGAAGCCGTCACTGGGGCGAATGCTCTCATGCCCGGATATGGTTTTTCGCCAGAGCTCTGTCAGCTCTGTGGCCTCGCCTCAGCGGAGGGATGACCAAACCGATCAGCCACGTCCGGTGGATGCAGGGAAGATGGGATCGAAGCTTTCTAGTTCATAAGCCCTCCCGTCACCACGACGCCTGAAAAGAATCCACCCAACATCAAGCTCACTCATATAGTAAGTTCTTCCAAAAATGAACCTTCATCTTGCTCGATCCAACTGCATGGTCCCCCGATCCACCGCGATCCACCGCGATCCACCGCGTCACTCGGTCCCGGTCGGCCCCAGCCGATTCGATCGCGGTGTTGCAGAACCTCGGCGCCGGCACCGCGGTCAGATCGACCCAGCAAGGACCCGTGGGAACAGCGACCGCCCGTGCGGCCCGTGCGAAAGGGTTTCTGCTTGGCTTGAGTGATTCTGGATGTGAGCTCCATGAGCTCTGCAAGCTCCCTGATCAGAATACCAAAGAAAAGGGTGGATCAGAATGGCTGCATCAAAGGAGAGCGACCAATCACTGTAAAGTGTCTCTTCCTTTTTCAGGGCGGCCCATCAAAATGGTGTGTTTTGTTTCGGTGCCACAACACTCTCCACCTGTACAAACCATGTGGAAAAAATATCTCTTTTCCCCCAGCAGGTGGTTTGCAAGTATTCGGGACCAGAACTGTCTGGTCTCCCACACGGAAAAGGCTCGAGTGAGAACTGCAGATTGTCTTCACCCCAGCTGGAAGCCCATCTTCTCGCTTCGGAAGTGCACCGTGTGTTCGGCCCAAGACCTCTTCCTCGTCACCGCCAAGCTCGCTGGTTGATCCAAGGAGCACACCTGTGACCACCTGACTCATGCCGGGAGCAACGGGGTATGAATGACGTGAAACATGAGCGATGGGGTCCATTCCCAGCACCACACGGGCTGGTTTTCTCTCAGGTTCCCATATATCTATCTAAGAAGTGGAATCCTTTGTGTTCATCCCCACCAGGCACTGGTGATACCAGCTGTTTTGCACGCCTGTTGGTCGATTTGGTAGGATCTGGTAGGTCACCTTGTTCGAAAGGGCTTCACGACTCTTCCCTTTAGCTATACCCCGATCCCAAGAATGTCAGGACTCCTGGCCAGTGAAAAGGGCTTGAAGATACGGATTGATTCATCCAAGCTGTGGGAGAGACAAGGTTCCGATCAAAAGCCCACCGAACCAGCAACCAGCGGCTCTACATCCCAAGCGGCATTCAAAACAGCGAAGACCGTAATCACCTCCAGCGCTTCGCCACAGCAACCAGTCGATTGAGATGAGGAAGACTGGTAAAAGCACTGGTAAAAGCAAACACCCCTCAGACCCTGCATGTAGATGTGCACTGGACATGTTCTTTCTTAAATATCCCAAGCTCTTCGGGGGTCTTTATTCAAAAGCCCTGCAAGTCATCCATGTTTAACACGGAACATCAAACGCAAGCTGACTGACAAGCAGCTCCCAACCACTCTTCAAAAAAGCAACTGCCCAAGTGAGGCGCTTGTGTCTCTCACCCTCCAACGTAGGGGTGTTCCGTGGGACACAGTCGGTTCAATCTTTGAACATGTGTGACCAACGTATCCGGGGTTGTCTTTCCCCAAGAACGACAAGGAGAACTCCCCCAGGCTTGTTCACAACAGCTAAATTGTTTTATATAGATTATTATAGTATATAGATTAATATGCCCAACAAAACCTGGCACCCTTCTTTTTCATGGTCCTTAGGTCCTTCATGTGGTCGAACTTGGTCTACAGGCGGGTGCCAAAAAGCAAAGCGTCCTCAATGTCACGCCGTCGAGGTGTTCGAAGGCCCAGGCACAATGTAGACACACAAGCTGATGAAGGGTGTGAAGCCCACCGAACGCAAAGGAAACAAAGCATCTGACCAGCTCAAACCTCCTGCGGAGGTCAAAGAAGAAAGGGAGCTGCGCAGAAGCTTGTGGCACCAACTACAAAGCTGCTGCAATACGATGGCAATTCATGTTGAACCACAACAAAAAACAGGGCCACAGGCGGCCACAACGCCGATGTCGAAAAAGGATCGTAGCGTTCACTTGGGGGGGGGTTCCCCACTGGCGAAGTGGTTCACTCTGGAGTCGATGCTGGGGGCCGAACGCGGAGGTGAACCGGAACCGAAACCGCTGTTGACTGAAACAAAGAAAGGGAACCGATGAAAGTACAAGTGCAGTGAATTTCACACACCAAAGCCATGTCATAGGAAAGGACCAATCAAAGGCGGGTTCTTAAACTTCCTTCTTCGTTTTCGTTTTACACTGTTACACTGTACCTGAGTCCCTTGCTAGAGCAGCTGTTAAAATGTTGGATTGAGATGTATTTTCTAACTGCCTGTTCAGAAAGCGACCAAAGAGCACCTGTTCGCGTCCGTTTCATCCTCCCTATTCGAAACCACCCCCCTTTCCGCCGCCGGGCGAACCCTGTGCACCACATGGGCACCACGCGAACGCCGCGTCGGTACCGGTCCAGTAATGGCCAGGAAGAGCGTCAACATGCTCTCGGCCACCGAACTCCAATGTCTGGGCCACCGGGTTCCGGTCGTGCGGCTGGGTTCCGGTCGGTGGTGCGGCGCATCTTCTGGCGGGGACAGCCGAGTTCGGAACGGTGGAGGTACAAGGGCAGTCGGTCCTCTTTTCACCGTTTCTTTCATGGAACAGACTGACAATCAAGCAAGCAAACTGCAACCATTGAGAGTATTGTTTTGAGAATTTGGGCTCAGAGTTGGTCGAAAGATCACGATTCACTGGTTTCTTCTCAGAGGCCAGTTTCGGTATCACGTTTCAATGCCTAGACCAACCCCTCTGCAACTGACAGTTTGGCTTCCGTTATGAAACCGCATGAAATCATGATTGATGGACTATGATGACCGCATGTGAAACTATCTGCCCCGCAGCGTTTTGAGCTGCAACCGCATCCACTCCATCATACTCCGTCCACTCCCATGTAAACCCCGATGCACCGCAAGCAAACGAAGAACGAACCGATCTCTTGCAAAGCAAGAGAAAAAACCATCCACCAGCGCGCCTGGTGAGTTCCAGGGGGGCACGTGTCGTTGTTGTCCAAGAGGAAGTTCAAGCGGCAGTAGTCCGCAACGGATTGCGTGATGATCACCTTGGGTGACATCGGGACCGAGCCACACAGAAGAAACGGGACGAAGAAATGGGATATCTCTGGACGAGTCAACCGGCCGAGTACGATGCAGGCCGGATATCTTATTCTGATAATTGACACGTAACAACCAAAGTTGCCAAGTCTCTTTGAGCAGTTTGTGTTCTTCGTTCATTGGAGTGGAGATGTTTGAAGATCGAGCACCTTCTGAAACAAGGAGAACCACAAGCTGCCCACCGACCCCTGCTCCAACAGACCGCTGAGACCCGATGCATGCTCCAAGCTGCACTGAAGCAGTACCAGAGCATCAGCAGCAGGATCAAAGTCCAAAAGAGACTTCCCAGCGTGCTCACGATGGAGAACATCTGGGCAGCAGAAAGAACCAGACCTATCTGAGATGGTCTACGTTCACCTCTAAAGAGAGAAACACCACCCCGCTCCTCCCACTGAGCCACCGAATGCTCCACCGAGCCACGATGGTGCGCAGGGAGCCGATGTAGCGCAGCAGTCGGATGACGCGGACCCCCCGCAGCGTCCGGGCCACGCGGACGAAGCGCATGACCCGAAGGTTGCTGGTGTCCATCCTGGTGGGCGGAGAAGGCTCCGGTCAGGGTCGAAGCGAGACACGAGAGAGAGAGAGAGAGAGAATATATATTGCCAAAATGAGCTCCCCGAACCTTCATTTAGAGCGTGTTGCGTCCAAATGGTAAGGTGCGTAGGTGCGTTGGAACCTTGGAGGATGGGAATGAGAGACTCCTTGAAGACGTTCTGAAGAGTTTTTCGCCTTTCCATGGACCTTTTCAGGTTCCTACAACAAGACGAAGTACTCGTCGAAGGACCACATCTGCTGCAGGAATTTGCTTATCTGCCCAGTGGGTAAGGGGTTTGCTTCCGAAAAAGCCTTGCACAAAGAGGCGATTTCATCGTACTTCCACAAAGAGGCTCTGAAGGTCTTGCATTTCGGATCAAGAAAGCTGAATGAAGCATCAAAACTTGGATGCAGGAGAGCCATCGAAGAAGAAAAACACCCTCTCGCTGCAGGTGATCGCTTCGGTGGGATGGAAAAACACCGACTTGCCAGACTGACCACCCAACCTTCTGCCTGATTCAATCACATCCACACTCACTAAATCGGTGGTTCTCCGTTCCTTAAATCCTTTTTGACATGTTGCATGTTCCAAGACCTCCAGACTTGGTTCAGGATTAGGATTTTCGCCACAGGGAATGGGAACCTGTAAGCCCCGGTGTCCTTCCGGAGAACTATATATCTCCCTGCAACACGTTCAAGTTCCACCGTAGCTTTTCCTGGATGGCCATAGCCATCTGTTGGGGGGGTGGCAGCCGCACCTTTGGGAAAACCTGGATGCTTCAGGGTCTCTAAGTACAGCCCCCCTCTTGGGATAACTGTTGAACATGTTTAGTCCACAACTCGACCGCCGTCGTCTTCCAGCCCTTCATGTCCGCATCCGAATGTCCGACACCGACACCTCGTTGTTTTTTTTTTCCAAGGAACTCCGAGGTCGTGATTTGAATAAAGAACTCAATCAAGACCTCCAGGACCTCACAGCTTTGAGGCCCAGATCCACGGACCACGGACCGCGTGGAAGTCGGGTGAGGAAAAGGATCGGGGGAAACGCAAGGCGGTAAGATCAGTGACATGCAGATACATCTGCTTCAGGGATAGGTAAACCATGAATAACGCTGGCAGCTTCTGTGACATGCAGGTTCCAGCTGGTGCCAGTGTCTCTGCTCCATTCATCAACCGCAATGAATCCAGTCCGCCATTGCTCAACGTGGCAACCGCTCAAAAGCAACGTCCAATGTTCTGGTCCATGCCCAGCTGCCGAGAGCAAGACGACCATGAAGTCGAAGATGTTCCACCTGCGCCCCGGTCGGCAGAAGTCGACGGTCGGCACCGGCAGGAACCGGTCAGGACAAAGAAATGAGATATAGTCCGGAGGCCCGAAGAACCACACTGCCACAAAAGTCAGAGCGCTTTTTTCCATGCTTAAGCCATCCAAACAAAGTAAAAATGATGATGAATGGAGGTGCACAGTGACACACGCCACTTGAGTACCACAGGCCACTTGCTTGATCCCTATTTTAGAGGGGGGGTCAACTCGGGCCAAACATGTAGTGCCAACTTTCGACGCTTCTTTCTCCATCTTTCGTCCATTAGCATGCCTCAGGCATGAGAATTCCTCATTTGGGGAAGAACAATCAAGATGTTCATCTCCCAGTTTGGGCCAGTCTAGGCCAGTCCCGTATGGGATCCACGCGCGATCGCGGCCCCGCCATGGCTCTCGGCCGCAGAAGAAGTGCCGAATGCCGAAGAAAAAGATCTTGGCAATGACCTCCCGAGATTCGCGACTGCTTCAGAGAGTAGCAAGAAAAATATGTGGCAATTGATCCAAAGATGTGGAAAGAGGTCAACTGCTAAGGCTTTTAGGCACCTGTACCGACGGTGTTTGCCACTCCTGCACTGCATTTCTGCACCTTGTGAATGGACACTGGATTCACTGGATGGATGGAGAGTCCAAACCCATGGAGGAGCATGCCATCAACGTGCGTGCACATTGGCAGTCATGGTGTTTGCCTCCCAACTAGCCGACCAGTCGAAGCAACAAACGATGCCCAAGACCTCGAAGCAGAAGATGCCCACCACCAGCAGATTGATCTCCGCAAACCAGGCCTAGTGGCGCGGGGAGGTGGGGACGTGTGGTTTGCCAGGCGATTCAGTGGTTTCGCTCTGTTGGGCCCACCACATTGGAGGCGCATGAGCCAGGCTGGCTCCTCAAGAGGCTTCGGTACTAGAGTGTTTTTCCATCACACCATACACTCAAGGACAATCAGGTGCAGTAAATCGAAAATGCATGACATGACTGCAGTGGACTAGCCAAGGACTCAGCAACATATCTTTGAGTGCCCTTGTGGGATTCAACTGGGGCGCACTCTGTACCCACAATGAGACCGAAACAGTTTTGAGTTTTTGGAGGGCTAGTCCCTCTTTTCCGGCCATGAATCCCCTGTCCGCTTCGCACGTTCCCATTCTCACCACATGAAGGCTCCAGGGCACGGGCGATTCACCGTAGGGCATTCCGGAGGCCAAATCCACTTCGATGCCCAGAAGCACCAGGTTCAACAAGATGAGGAACAAAATCGTGTAGTTGAAGGCGTTCGAGGCCACGAACTGTTGCCCCTTCACCTCACCCGGAAAACCCGTCACCCGACACCACGCGGCAACCGGAGCGGGCACCAAACGACCGGAGCGGTGAGAAGTCGGAGCGGCATGTGCCACGTTGGTCCTTCACAGCATCATTACGGAGACGTAGGAGACAAGAGATTGATAGAAAATGTGTGTGCTGAAAAGCGGCTTGGTAGTTTGGATGGACATGTTACATCTCTTTTTTCAGTCTCATTGACCAGGAGCTTTGCAGGCCGTTGGTTGTAACAAGCAAGTCCCCACACAGTAGATGTCGCTGGACACATCGTTCTCAACAAGAGTGGTGTCATATTCCCTGTCCCAAAATCTCAAGCCAACCGAGACGTTTCACTGGTGCCACCAAGCAGCCATGAAGCAGCTGGTATATTTCAAACTGTTGCTACTTCCTTCCACTGTCGGGTCCTGGATCTTGGCCTTGAGGCGCGAGTGGACGTCCATCGCAGTCGATTGAAGTGTGGACGTTTCATTGAAAAACAACAGGAACCAACGAGAAGAACAACAAATCGTGACCAATCAGGACAGGTCATGACCACGGAACCAAAAAAAGAAAATACAGCGCCTGGTCCTTGTTCTTCTTCTCCGCGAACTGGAGTTGGATATTGTGATCCCAGTGGTGGTTGTGCGACGTCGTCCGCGTGTGCGACACACTGGCAGCCCGGACTTGCCCTCCCGCGCTCTGCATGCTCCCTGTGCTCTGCACGCTCCCGCGGTTCAACCGATGGCCACTCATCCTCACATCATCTGGGTGTTGCTCCTCCTGAGCAAGGATGTCTCAAAGAGCATGGCACGGCCTGAAGACAACAATGCCCCTTCATTTTTTAGATTACAAAGAGAGTTGCATCGAAATGCAAGTTCACACAAGATTGCCTCAATGAGATGCAAGGGTGCACCAAGCATCAATTCCTACCTTCCCTGACTCTAAGCTTAACCTTATTGGCTCTCATAATTCTTCGCCTTGGCAAGTTGTGCAGTACCATAAACTCAGAAGGCTTCATTACAATTTAACTATATACATCATGATCCAATCGGTCGGGCTTTCGGCTCATTAAAGCCCCTCCTTCCCCAAAGGACAAGGATGGAGCCCAACAGGAGATTGATTGGCAGGACAAGTGATGTTATCATCAAACAACATCGATCATTAACTCCATTCCGAACCTGCTTGGGTGCTCACCCCGATGCTTCATTCAACTAGACGACGAGTGGCCCGAAAGCATTTTTCATCACGTGTGAAGTTAGAGTGTGAGTTATGTGTTAAGTGTTAAGTGTGAAGTGTTCAGTCTAGTGTGTCGAGTCCGTGTGTGGGTCTCTGTGTGTGTGTGCGTCTACCTGTGTATCTGTGTCTGTGTCTGTGCACAGCTGAGGGGGTGTAGACGTCGATGCGCAGAGATACGGCAGCACAACAGTGTGGCTCAGGAGCGCCAACCTCTTGGTGTCTTTCTCGCTGTGTCAGCACAACGCTGAATAGGTCCGCCACACTAGTCGCAAACATATCACATAATACCACCAATCATCCCTCTCTGAAGCGACACGCCGCACGCCGTATTGACGGACACTCTTGTGGGACACTCTTGTAGGTCATCCCCAGCTACTCCGCGCACTAAAGTTGTACTACAAAGTCGCCAGTTCTCATCTTCCAGCTCCCC